TTTTCTACATCTCTACTTTTTAAACTATTTTCACGAAAATGTGCATTTATGTGCCAACGAACTAAATTTGTGATCATATTCGTATATCATTATGTTCAGTAAACGAGTGTTGATGAATATCCTCTATCGGTAATATAACGATCAATTAGATTGAATTTAGCTTACGTGAGAGCTCCATTGCCCACGTACGCTTCCTCTTTATTGGTCTTGCATTTGCCCGCGTCTCTGACTCGATCGTCGTTGCTTGCCAAGTTTCCGGCACACTGTTGACACAATTTGGATCCGCTCGGTGCTCCAGGAGCGCACGATCCCGAGAAGAAATCGATCAGATCGTCCTCCGAGTTAACGAGATTATTCTGCTTCAATATTCGCAACGGTGCCAGCCAACCGGCGAAATTACTTTTGTATCCACTGTGACATGACTTTTTACCCCTCAAGTCCTCTGAACATCAATTAGAACAAGAAGTAGATATAGTGACTTATCTTAAAGTTGACAGTACATTGAAATTATTTATCTATTAGTTGCTGCTCAGTGACTTTAATCCGTCACTCTCTCTGAGAGTATGTCACATGCAATTGAAAATTTCGGTCTATTAATAATGTTAATAAAAGAATTTGCAAGTTTACATTATTTATCTTTTCATTGGTAGGTATTAATCTTTTTTTTTTTATCACTGTGTCAATTCGACACCAGATTATGTTGAACAAATAAATGTGAAATGAAAATGGAAATAAACCATCTGATTTGTACTTTACAGAGATTCTGAGATAGTGACTTTTCCAAACTGTGTTCCCAGCATCGACTGGCATTAACATTTGTTATTTCTTACCCAATTTGTTTATGGAGGACGATTTCTGGACAATTGCTATCGCTGGTCTCTCGCCAAGATCTGTCGAACCTGATCCATATAACTCCGCGATTATGGGAGCCGCGTTGAATTCCTTGGTCGCTCGAAGAACTGAACCTCCTTCGAGAATCGTCAAATCCGCGTCACCTGCCTTGATCGCTTTCAAGCAGTGGTCTTGAGTCTTCTCCTGCGAACACTCGAACTTTGGCCTGACATCTCTGATGGAACATGGAAGTAAGCAATGGACAACGATAAGATTACGTATGCATCATCTTGAACAATATACAGAGCTAATTACGAATTATCAACGTCTAATTTTTGTATCGCAACTAGCCGAGATAATGTATGTTTATATTGTACAGTTCCGTGCCATGTGTACCACCGGTGGTACACGTTAAACTTGATCTTCAGGCCACGTGTACCAGCATGTATTTCTAATAATATTACCACAAGTACTTATCGATTGATGGTGTAATGAAAGATTGTGTGATAATATATCAAATGGTCTGAACGACAAGTCAGGCAAAAATGGCTTGGCACGGAACGTGTTAACTAAAGGATAATAAAATGGAAACTCGGTTTGCATTCCGATTTGCCAGATTCACAGATAAAGAGACGAAGTCGATTTCTTTCAAAGTTAAGCTGTTTACATTTTAAATAACGCCTAAATGATTTCATTTTCGGTATAATATCTGCCATTATTTACATCGTTATTTTTTTTTTCTCTTCTTGTACACTGAGTGCTATTTTCATAACTATTTTTATATGTTCGTGATATGATAATGAGTATACTGCTCGTAAATAAATAAATAAATAAATAAATCTCATGCAATATGTATGTACAGAGTGTATCATAACGTGTGAAAATACTAAAACAATGAAACACGAACATGTATCTTAGTTGATCTTATTTCAAAGTTATATTAAATATAATTACGTATTCAATTGTATAATTGAATATTTTCTGTTTCCATAATCTATATAATCCATACAATATATTTTCTGCAATCTATGGATACTTCACACATTATGAATTATTTTATTTCGCAAGTAAGAAAATTACCATCTATATGTCCACAATTTGCGATTAATTAGTGTACAAGAGAGTCAAAAATCGATGACATTTACCTGGAATACGCTGCTCTAGCAAGTGCACGACACTTGTCGAGGGCTTTTTTGCTCGAGACACACCAACGAGCACTTTTGTCCGTAGCTCCGGAATTCCTTTCGATCACGTCGAAATATTTTGCGTCTTTCAAGTGGTGCTCGGGCAATGCCACTGGCGCTGGAACGGCTAAAGTTTTCTGATCCAGTAGCATAATGTCTTTCCACCAATCTGCCTTTTCTTCCTCTCCCAGTTTACCGAGATCTGTCAATTCCTGCACGAATTACAGTGTAGTAATATATGGAAAAAAGAGTTCGGAAATGAGAAAGAGAAAAAGAAGAAAATAATATTAATGACACACATTATATACAATAATACACTAATATTTTGAATAGTATATTGTTGAATTCTAGTAATTGAAAATCATTGAAAATTCAGCATCAGTAGTATATTTCCATTGTGAACGAACTATTGGTCATAGATTTTATCGTTTTGATAAATTTTTATATGATTAATATAGGTGTAATAGTGATTCTGTTTGAATCATTCTTAATCCAATATTTCCTCGTTTCTCTTCCTTTCATCATATAAATTATATATTATGTGTTATATTATGTTCGTCATATAAATCATACAAAGTTTGCAAAATTGACGTTCTATACCGTGTAAAATATTTTTTCATATAACGCGTATTTTAGAAATTGTTCGAGGTGATCAAGTTTCGCGGGCCATCCTGATTAACGCTAAACCAATGAAAAAGGCCAGAATAACCAATTTATAATTTTAGATATTTCATATATTTCTAGAGTCACTCTGATGATTTTTAATAAATGAAACAAAAGCAATTGTATTATGAATTTTATAAATTTAGTATTATAAATATATAAATAGAAGCTATTGTATTGCAATTGTATTTAATTTCTCTGCTACAAATATTATAT